GCGACCCACTAAAAGTGTGCAACTAGGATCTAACTAGCTCCATAGACATTACCAATCTACTTATGAATGAGTAATGATAGTGAGGATTTACACACACTCCCCGTAGGCACTCGGTGGAAATTGATATAGAAATTCGAAACCAGACATACTGACTCAGATATACTCAGATATACATATAGTACCCACGAGGGGTGTGTGTAAAACCTCGCTATCATTACTCATGTATAAGTGGGTCGCGTGGTATGGTTGGATTAGTACTGTCCCTCCTCCATACCCGGAGTGATCTAGGTTCGAGGCCTGATCAGGGAGGATTGTTATATATATGTACACATACACGTGTATATATATATATATATATGTACACATACACGTGTGTATATATATATATATATATATACATACACACACACATGTATGTACATATATGAATGTGGGAAAATATATACATCACCTTGAAAGGGAACAGGTTTGCCTGGCAACCAGTCCCTCTGTCGTCATGCTTTAGGAAATATCGGGAAGGATGCGACGAGCATTAGTTCACAAAAAACTGGGAGACGCCTTTGCCTCAAGGCCATTCACACACACTCACACACAGAGATATGAATATATATATATATATATTTATATATACATACACTCACACATGCATACATATATACATATGTATGAGGTTACGTGGTGAGGGGATGGCCCCCCCCGGCCCCCACTCTTCCTCCTTGGGAGGCATGCCGAGTTGTGCCGAGGCGTCACCCGGCCGGAGCCCCACACATGGGGTCAATCTGCAGCGAGCGTGCCGTGTAGTGGCCTGGAACATCCTCAGTCTCTCGGAGGATGATCGACTGCCTTTGTTGTCGGGGGAGCTGTGGAGGCTGGGGATTGCCATCGCTGCTCTCCCTGAGGTGCGACGGCCTGGTAGTAGTGAGACCAGTAGTGGGGGTTATACCTACTACTGGTCTGGCTGTAGCAATGGTGCGCGCCTTAAGCTACAGTCACACTAGTAACTTGTATGAGATCTCCCCCTACACATGAACACCAGCTATTATCGGTAGACGGGGATGTGGTCACACCTGTCCTCAAGAAAGAACCATCGTCCCCGCGCAGCGGTGACGCCGATAGTAAACAAACCACCATGGAGCTTTCCTCCGAAGATGAGTTTTGTGGCTATTTTTCAGCTATTACGGCGCTTACACAGTGTGCATTAGCCCTTGCTGCTGTAAAACAAAAGAAAAAGAAGCCAAATCCTGCTGAATGTTTGTGTTTACGTTCGATGGTCAAGCGAGTAACCCTTCAATAATCTATTCATTCTAATAAAATATTATTGTACATAATTATCTAAATTACGTATATTTATTTGAGAGAGATTTATTTATGTACTGGTTATTATATTTAATATTTAAAAAAAGGATAAATTATAAAATAAACATTACAGTTTTTGTTTTGATAAGATCTCTCCCCCACTAGCGAACGACCAAACACCAACACAGCGGTGTATTGGTTTTCCATTGCTAGCTGTGAGGATCGCCCACTAATTGCAGACATTTTCTATATACACATGGGGATCCCTAGCTACAAGTTACTAGTGTGACCAGGGCTTTAGGGGAGTCGCGGTGGCTGTCTCTGACCGCTTCCGTTCCTCAGTCAAGAAGGTTACCCCTGTTGACGAGCGTATTCTGCTTGTGAGAATGAAGCACACTTTGGGCTTCATATCTCTAGTGGCAGTTTACGCTCCTACTGAGGGAAGTGGGCTTGAAGAGAAAGAGATGTTCTACGCCAAACTTGACTATATAGGGGACACCCTCATGGTCTCGAGGGACTTCAATGCAGTCAATGGCACTGACAGGGAAGGATACGAGCTATGCATTGGTCCCTATGGCTCTAGTACTAGGAACATCAATAGCTCATACCTCTTAGACTTCGCAAGATCTAGGAGGCTGAGGATTGCAGGCTCGTGGTACCAGAGACGAGATCTACACCACTGGACTTGGTACTCCAATACTGGCGTTGTAGCTAAAGAGATCGACCATATTCTCGTGGATACTCGCTGGAAGATCCTTCAGAACTGTAGAGTTTTTAGGAGTGCTGAGTTCTTTGCTACCGCAACACTAAGGCTCCGCCTCAGATCTAGATGCATCCCAAGATATCACCAGCAGGTGTTTCATCTCGAGAGGCTCAAGAGTGAGGAGGTGGCTCAGGAGTATGCAGTGGCAGTCTTAAATCGGTTTGAAGTGCTTGGTACTCTACAGGACCCTGCTGAACTGTGGGATACCTTTAAGCGAGGAACTCTGTCAGCTGCCGAGGAGTGCCTTGGGGTCCGACCTCGGCGAAGGAGGCGTGTTGTCTCAGACGAGACACTGAACACTATAGAGATGCGTCGTGCTGCCAGACTAGATGGGAACCATGTCTTGCACAGGGAGCTGTCTCACTCTGATAGGGCCTCTTTGAGAGTGGACCAAGAGAGGTATGTTAGGAGTATCGTGGAAGAGTTGGAAGGACATTTTGCCCAAAATGACCTTCGACCTGCTTTCCGAGCCCTGAGGGAACTCGGTGAGGTGAGGGCAGAGGATGGTCGCATTGTGTCAGAGCCTGGTGAGTATAGGGCCCACTGGGCTGAGTACTTTGAGCAACTGTACAGGGTAGATCCCCCGTCTTCACAACTCCCGTTGGCTTGCACACAGCCACTAATGGCTGATCCACCAATCAGTGAGGCACCACCTGCCATCGAAGAGGTGAGAAGGGCGGTCTCTAAGCTGAAGAGTGGAAAGACTGCTGGTGTCTGTGGGATTGCTGCAGAGTTGTTGAAGGCGGGTGGAGAAGTGTACCAGACAAGGTCCTCGCCCATCTGCTCTTGGCACGAGTGCGCGACCATCTATTACGAGCACAGAATCCTGAGCAGTCTGGGTTTACACCCAAGAAGTCAACTATAGACCGTGTCTTAGCACTTCGTGTCCTTGTGGAACGCCGACTTGAGTTTCAACAAGGTATGCTTGCAGCTTATGTTGATCTCAAGAAAGCTTTCGACACAGTGCACCGGGAGAGTCTCTGGAGCCTACTGGGTCTCCGTGGGATCCCCCCTGGAATTATTGGTTTGCTGTCTGGCCTGTATACAGATACTGAGAGTGCTGTCAAGTGTGGGGAGGGCATCTCTGCCTTTTTCCCATTGTCTGCCGGGGTGAGACAGGGATGTGTCCTGGCCCCAACCCTTTTCAATACTTGTATGGACTGGATACTTGGCCGTACCGTGAACCGCAGTTCCTGTGGGGCATCAAATGGTAATTTCAAGGTCACAGACCTTGACTTTGCCGATGATGTAGTGATTCTAGTGGAGACATTAGAGGTCCTGGAAGTAGCTCTCGAGGCACTGCATGAGGAGGCGAAGCCGTTGGGACTCGCGGTCACCTGGACCAAGACCAAGGTTTAGGAATTTGGGGACTTTTTGGATGTCGATGTTCAGTCTGTGCATGCCTGTGGCGAGAACATTGAGGTCTTGGATAGCTTCACTTATCTTGGTAGTGTAGTGCAGAGCAACGGAGGTTCCGACCGGGAAGTCACTCGACAACTCGGACTGGCTTACGGCGTTATGGACTCACTCAATAGGAGTATTTGGTGCTGTTGGTATTTGACTAGGAGAACTAAGATAAGGTCTTCAGAGCACTGGTGATCCCGGTCTTACTCTATGGGTGTGAGGCCTGGACACTGAACAGTGCTCTGAAAGCCCGTCTTAACTCCTTCGGTACTAAGTGTGTTTGCAGAATCATGGGGTATACCTGGAGGGACCATGTGTCCAATCAGAGGATACTCCATGAGACTGATTCAAGACCTATTACCAGTCTGATACAAGAACGCCAACTTCAGCTCTATGGACGTGCCTCGTTTCCCTGAGGAAGATCCGGCTCATAGGGTCATCTCCGAGAGGGTTGACCCAGGCTGGAGAAGACCAAGGGGAAGGCCACGGAACTCATGGCTGAAGCAAGTCGATCAGATCTGCCAAGATGTACTGGGTGTGGGAAGGAATGCTGCATGGAGGCTTGCTCGGAGGGACCCAGGAGGTGGAGGCAAAGGTTGGGCGCGGCAAAGCGCAGCCATGCGTATGCCCCCTTATGATGATGATGATACACACACACACACACACACATATATATATACACACATGTATGTATGTATATATATGATTGTTTTTAATATAATGTTTAAGGTAATTGAATGTGATGTTTGCCACAACAGAAATGGTATTGGTGATATGGTTCCACCTTTATGAATATTACAGTTTTGGATGGTGTGGCAAAGTTTCTCAAAACAAGGAAAGAAATGTGTGTTGTTAATGCGGTTGGGTAGGATACAGTAATTCTAAAAAAAAGTATATCTTTTTAATCATTTGATGGCATATTATTTATAAAGTTAAAGATCCGATTTCTTTCATAAAGTCCATAATCATTTTTTTATCAAATGCTCTCACACAAACATGCAGTTATCACAGTTTATAAAGAATTGATATATAAATTACCATAAATGATCAGTCTTGGTTTTGAAATCAGAAACTACAGAAACAATACTACCCTCAATTCAGCCCGATTTGTTTTTTCACAACAGCAATTCTATTGGTAATTTCCTTAAGTGGAAGAAACAGCGCATTATGCTTTAATGTAATCTACCTCTTTACTTGTCCTAGCTGTCAGGTACGTGGGTTCAACCTCACGGTGGCTGCGACACTGCAGTCTCGAACGTAAAGGCAAGTCTGTCAGGACTAGCCTAGCACTGAGTAAACTATCCTTCTCAGCAACCAGAGAGCATTCTCACCTTCACAACCACTCGTTTAACACCACAAATTTCCAAACCTTGACCTTCTTTCCTAACGGATTTGCCAGGATCAAACACGAATCTCTCCGCACACAGATCAAGCACTGCAACCACCTTATATACTGTTTAATGTTAAAAGATTAGTTACCTTAAACAGGCATTTTTTTCTGCCATCGATATGTACCTTTCTATTTGTTGTGTAATATGTTTCGGTAGTCTTTGTTATGCATTTTTCCATGATTAAAAGCGATTATTTGAAGGTATATAATTATAAGGACCTAAGTCCCTGGTCGTCGGGCTGCCTGTCACACACATGGCCCGAGCTCCCTACCTCCCTATACCCCCCCCCTCCCTCCCCGATGCCGCCTGGCCATAGGACTCACTCTGGCTCATTCTCTCTTCGGCTTATTCATTCAGCCCTTTGTATATACTTATATATGTATTTATGCATATATACATATATATACACATACGCGTGTGTATATATATAAATATGTGTGTGTGTTTGTGTTTATACATATATGTATATATATGTGTTTGTATACACACATATATACATATGTATCCGTATATATATGTATACATACATGATCACACACACATTCTATATATTATTCATCTATATGCTATTACATATGCAGGTATATCTATACACACACATGCACATACATACACGTCTATGTGTATTATGTGAATGTATATATAATGTATATAAAATTTATACATATACATATGTGTATATATATATATATATATATATATATATATATATAAAGAGAGAATATCATTAAAACTCTTTCACAAGAAATGCTACAATATCTTAAACAATATCTCAGCCATACATGCATACTCATTATGCATGGCTTTGACCAAACATGCTTTCTTAATCTGCACATCATGACTCGTATATAGTGTTTAGTTTTATCAGTTGCACTGAAATATAAACAGTGAATTGTACAGTAGGGGCCCATGCTATTGATATAACAATTAGTCAGTGAGGGAGGTTATATATATATTTCCCTCCTATAACACATTTGACTTAAAATCATCAGCGAGATCTATAAGGGGGGGGGGGTAAATACGACACTGGTTTCGTTTCATCCGAATCCGTCAAATTACACACACACACACACACATATATATATCGGTGTGTGTGTGTGTGTATCGTATACACATATATATTTGTAGATAGACAGATACATATATATCTATATACATATATACACATACATATATACAAACACACACACACACACACGCAGATATATATGTATATATACATATATGAATAAGGAAAACACTCTACCCTGTTGATACTATGGTAGAAACACCCACAATGTAAAAACTAGATTTATTGAAAATGAAAATGAGACGACAGTTTCGGAATCCACCTGGATTCCATCCTCAGACCTGAGGATGGAATCCACCTGGATTCCGAAACTGTCGTCTCATATACATATATATATATATATATATATATATATATATATATATATGCATATATATACTTATATATACATATATATACATATATATACATATATATACATATATATACATATATATATTTACATATATATATATATATATATATATATATATATATATATATGTATGTATGTATGTATATGTATGCATGTATGTACATAATATATATATACACATATATTTATATATATATATACATATATACATACATGTATATATATATATATATATATATATATATATATATATATATATATGCATGTATGTACATAATATATATATATGTATATATATGCATTTAAAACCTCGCTATCATTACTCATGTATGAGTAGATAGGTAATGTCTATGAAGCTAGTTAGATCCTAGTTGCGCACTCGTTTTAGTGGGTCACGTGGCATGGTTGGTTTAGTACTGGCCCTCTGGTCTCTTACTCGGAGTGACCTAGGTTCGAGGCCTGGTCAGGGAGGATTGTTTTATATATATATATACATATATATATATATATATATATATATATATATATATATATATATACACATACACACACATACACATGTATGTACATATATGAATGTGGGAAAATATATACATCACCTTGAAAGGGATCAGGTTTGCCTGGCGGACGAAGGACTCAACCGGTCCCTCTGTCGTCGTGCTTTAGGAAATATTGGGTTGGATGCGCCAAGCATCAGATCACAAAGAGACTGGGAGACGCTAACACCCGGCGTACCTGAGCCTTTGCTTCAAGGCCATTCACACACACATACACACACACACACACACATACATATATATACATATATACATATATATATATCTATATATATATACATGTGTATACATACACACACACACACACACACACATATATATATGTGGATGTATATATATACACATCCAACCTTCACACCCACCCGTTTAACACTACAAATTTCAAAACCTTCCATCCTAACAGATTTGACCTGATCATGCCTGAATCTCTCCGCACACAGACCAAGCACTGTAACCACCCTATATACCATTCAAATGTTAAAAGGATAGTTACCTTAAAGTGGCATCTTTTCTGCAGTCGATATGTACCTTTCCATTTTTTGTGAGTAATAGGTTTCGGTAGTCTTTCTTATGCATCTTTCGATGATTAACAGCGATTATTAAAAAGTATATAATCATACTGACCTTAGTCTCTGGTCGTCTATATATTTATGCATATATACATATATACAAATATATACGTGTGTGTATATGTATATATATACACATATGTGTTTGTTTTTATACATATATATGTATATATATGTGTGTGTGTATACATATATATACATATATATGTATCCGTATATATATGTATACATACATCACACGCACACACATATTTTTATATATTTTTCGTCTATATGCTATTTTCAGAGGGTGGCATAGCTCAGTGGTAGAGCGCTGGCTTTGCAATCGCAAGGTCCTGGGTTCGCGGCCGGCCGCCGCCCCTCTCAGTCGACTCAGCTGTGAATGAGTACTGATATGCTGACGTCAGCATGTTGGGGTCAAGGTCGGAGCGGAAAGGAACTGGCCACCCTACCGCATCATCCCGCGGCTTAGTAAGCATGTTTCTCTGCGAACATGTCCTACGTTCACATGGACATGGGACCAACTTTCACTTTGATATGCTATTATATGTGCAGGTTTATCTATTCACACACATGCACACGCATACACGTGTCTATGTATGTATGTGAATATATATAATGTATACATACACATATATAAGTATATATATATATATATATATATATATATATATATATATATATATATATATATATAAAGAGAGAATATCATTAAAACTCTTTCACAAGAAATGCTACTGAAAACCTTAAACAATATCTCAGCCATCCATGCATACTCATTATGCATGGCTTTGACGAAACATGCTTTCTTAATCTGCACATCATGACTCGTATATAGTGTTTAATTTATCAGTTGCACTGAAATATAAACAGTGAATTGTACAGTAGGGGCCCATGCTATTGATATAACAATTAGTCAGTGAGGGAGGTTATATATATATTCTCCCTCCTATAACGCATTTGACTTAAAATCATCAGCGAGATCTATAATCTATAAGGGGGGGGGGGGGGTAAATACGACACGGGTTTCGTTTCATTCGAATCGGTCAAATCCCCGTCATTCAGCGAACGCCTGGAATCCGGTTGTTGGAGGCAAGGGGCGAAATAGACCTTGGTGATCGAATATAAAAAAATATGATAATTACCACTCTTCATCAGAACC